GTTTATTAGATGTATCACACAGTGAAACAGTATTATTTACTGGATGACGTTTCGAACAAAATTTATTGTTCATAATCATATCAATTGTGATCACACGACCTTGAAATTTGAGTTTTATAGTTTTCTCTGTCTTCTCCTATTTGTCGTAGGGGTAAGCAGAATTTTCCAGGTATCTGGGACAAGTGTTGAATCATTCCTATTACATGTGTGCGCAGTTGATTCGATAAACAAAGCTTCTGTTATCAATCTCTCCCTATACCCTGTGACATTAGATTTTAAAACTGTCATCCTATCCCATCCAGCCTATTGTATGGTTGTGTGTAACTGCATGTATAGCTGAGTGGTATAGCTGAACTATTCTCTAGATTTCTTATCTTATTTGGGCCAACCAATCTAGATTTAGCTAGGTTTTTATGTTCGGCTAGTCTGACTGCTCCTGTTCTACTAGTTTGACCTATGTATTTGACCTCACAATCATTGCAGGGTATTATATAAACTAAATTGTTTTGTTTTAAAGGCTCCCCCACCCCAAAAGTATGGTGGAGTATGTAGGTGACACATTCACTGTACTTAGAACACAAAATATAGATAGACTTTTCGAACACATCGACTCGAAGGTAGAGACAATTCAATTCACTTATGAATCGGAAAGTCAGGAAGGGGAACTTCCAATGTTAGATTGCAACTTAAAAAGGAAATAAGATGGGAAGTTAAACACTAGTGTTTAGAGAAAACCCACACACTCAAACAGATATTTGAATTTCCGATCATCCCATCCTATGTCAGTAAAAAAAGGATTAGTGAAATGTTTAAATGACAGAAGACAAAAACTAAGTAGTACCAAGGAAAATCTAAGACGGGAAGTGAGACACATAAAAGAAGCTTTGAAACTTAATAATTATCCGGATAAATTAGTCAGGAAATATGTAAGGAAATCTAAAAATAAAATAAATAATGACCATAGCGATAGTGATAATAATATAATGATAACAATGATAATGATAGTAATAATAATAATGGTAATAATAATAGTGATAATAATAATACTAATGACGACACCAACAATAAGGAATCCAAATCATCAGTAGTGATTCCATACAAAGAAGGAATGCAGTTTAAATAACATCGAATAAATAATACTGATAGATTACAGTTCAATAGCATAAACATAAAATAAGCTGAATTTCGGAAAAATTAGGAAAGATAATATTACAAATTCATGAATTTATAGTCTCTACTGAAGGCTAGGGCAGTAGTAGGGTCTGAACTTGCTTCTTCTGAACACAGAGCATTGGTTGTCAAGTGGGTGAGTTAGTAAACATAACATACCATACCTGCGGATTGTTGTATTTGATAAATGCATGAAATTATAAAAACAGGAAGTGTTTGCATAATGAGATTGTTTATCACATATCTGTTGACTGTGTCCCTTCGTGGAGGTTGGATAGGAAGGTGTTGGAACCAGATTAAATTCTGTCTTAATCCATCAGTCATAATTAGACAATTTGGATTCCATTTAACATAAAGTGCTTTTGATATGTGATGTTCTTTGTGATTTTTAAAAACTTCCTGGATGAATCCTATATTGCCAAAATCAAATATTTGGCCTGGTTCTATATCGTGTAGACCTATGGCTGAGGATTTTTCAAGCTTTTCTAGTTCAACTGGATTTCTCGGTGATGGAACAGATTCTCTGCGGTATTTGTTTCTGATTTTGATTTCTTGAGCTGTTTGTCTGATGTATATCGCATCATATTCTAAGCACTTTATTTTATAGACACAATAAGACAGAAAATCCTATGGGATTCGGTCTTTTATATAGACAAAGTTGTTTTGCAGTGTGTCTGATGTTTTAAAGAAATTTCTTCTGTCGTGCTTATTGAGTACTCTTCTGATATAGTCTGACATCTCTGATGTATATGGAATGACAGTTGTTGAGGCCTACGTTAAGGGATGACATATTAACAAATTAATAAGATTAGTAGGCGAATGAGGACATTACGTAACAGGACAAGAAGATTGATAGGATATATTGATTTAAAATAACAAATAGGAGGGTTGAAGTAATACCGGAAACCATTCAAAGTGGAAATAGAAATACTCAGTCGTAAAGATAAGTGACATGTATCCATATAACATGTGTGTTTGTTTGACAGTCCGATATATTTGCTATGTATATATGGATCGATATTCCATTATAATTAGCCAATCATGTTAAGGCTGTCTATTGATTTGTTCATTTTGAATATTCGCTCACACACTTGTTCGGACATTCTTATATTTTTTGCTCTCACACTCTCGTGTGACATTTTTCATTCTCCTTGTGTTTGGAAAATAGAGTATCATTGCAAACCTAGTGGTCTTCTGATTTCCGTCTTTCTTGCGTCAGGACTATTAAATTCTCGACCAGTACATAACAATAAGGTAAAAGTATGTGTATTAAAACAGCAAAACGAAAAATAAGGAAATGTTTTTCCCTCTGATGCCAAGGTAGAAACAGGGACTGCACATACTTCATTTATACACAAAGGACTGGCTTTAATTCATGAATGGTGAAGGCCTCGGCTGTCTTTAGTAGTTTAGAATGAAGAAAAACATGGAATTCAGCAGTGAATACGACTGATGACCTTAAAATCATGCTGGATGTTGGTTGAGTGGCAGAAGTCAATCAAATGTGATAGAATGGAACTGTTCATATCCTTCTTTTCTCTTTCATGTAGATCCATGCTGAATGTGATCTGAGGACAGAGTCTATAATTACAAATATCTTATCTCAATTCACTTTGTCATTATAAGCATTGACATCTGTTATAAATTCCTGACAGGATATATATAGTTTCTTAGAAATGATGCATACACCATTGTACATCTTGATAATGAATTCGTTCGAAAGAGTCTGTCTGTTCGTTTAGCCTGTAATTACATGTTACAATGGTAATTATTAAATTTTTGATCCCTGTTTCATGACTAGTCACAGGTAGCAGATTTAAGGACAGAGTATTATGAATAATCGCATGGTAATTATGATATTATTCACATTAAAAGTAAGTAGAGACCGGATTATGCTTTGTATGCTTAAGAGCTGAGGGCAGCTTGTTCAGATTTTTGCCCTAGCTAGGTTAATTCTGAATTTCATTTCAGTCTAATGGTCTGAAGGTTTTCAATGAAGTGTCAATAATGTGTCTTATTTCAAAATTCTATAGCATCCCATAAATTTCTTAGTTTTGTTTTTCAAATGACCATTGTCATCTAATGTGTTCATAATCCCGAAATTTTGATATCATTCATTTGGAACGGTTACATAAGCATTTCCAGCATTGTGGATGCAATGGCTTTGTGCCAAGATTTAATCACTAGTGTTCCATTGGTAATTACTTAGTAAAAACAAGTTACACAAGGGCTGGATCATTGTAACTACGTCTAGATGTTTATTTCATTCAGTTGAGAGTGTAACATGGAGCACGTCTCCATTTAATCCTATTCTCTTCAGTTCTCTTTAGCTCGCTCCCAGATTCCCCATAAGCTTTCACCTCTTTCTAACATGATCTCCTCCATGTCACCCATTGATCCATGTCCAATTCATGGCTTCCATTTGGGCTCCATTCAAAGCGTAGCTGGCGTGTGATCTCAGTCGGTGGTCTCCTTAGATTGTGTCCGATGCGTCTCCATTTCATTCGTCATATTTATTGGGCAGTAGGATTTGGTTAGTTCGCTGCTAGAGTTCCTTGTTTCTAAACACTTGTGGCCTGTTGCCTGATTATTAGTATGGAGAAAAGAGGACAGCTAATGATAGACATCTGTAGTACACTGTTGGGAAGGCATACGGTGACACCTGATCTAACTCTGAGTTGATATTAGTGTTGAAAATCCGAACTGTGTTCTCTATACTGAGTTTAGCAGAAGTCTACAGTGATTTCCTATCTTGACTGGCTTTGACATCCCGATCAGTGTCGCTTGTAATTGAAGCGATAAGCGAAAGGACTGAGTTCCTTTGGATCTCTTTCACTGATAGTGAATGATGGCTATTGTTGTTGTGGTGGTGGTGGTAGTGGTGGTTAAGCACCTTAAATACGTCTATCTTCTGTACATTCTCTTGAAGTCCTTCTTAGGTGAGTCTTTGGACAATTTGTTTTTTCTTATCTGTAGAGTTTATATTTTATTAGATATGAATCGTCTAGTTTACCAGCCGGTCCTTAGTCCGAAAAAAAGAGGGAAGGTGGAAGAGTGGAGTCAGAGACCCTACCCCAGGAAACCAATGCAACCGCTATAGAATCTTCAAAACACAGAAAAAGATATAAGAAATAAACGCCTGAATTAATCTCATATAATCTAGGTGTTGCTTTACACCTTTCCCTAAAAATAGGATTAGTGAAATGTTTAAATGACAGAGCACAAAAACTAAGTAGTACCAAGGAAAATCTAAGACAGGAAGTGACACACATAAAAGAAGCCTTGAAACTTAATAATTACCCGGATAAATTAGTCAAGAAATATGTAAGTAAATGTAAAAATAAAATAAATAATGATAACAGAGATAGTGATAATAATAATATTAACGACGACACCAACAATAAGGAATCTAAATCATCAACAGTAATTCTATACGAGGAAGGAACCTCGGAAGCCTTACGCAGAATTCTTAACAAGGCAGGAATAAAAGTGGCATTCAAACCCACAAACTCAATTAGAAACAAGCTTTGTCGGTTAAAGGATCCTGTGGAGCCTTTAAAACAAAACAATTTAGTATATATAATACCCTGCAATGATTGTGAGGTCAAATACATAGGTCAAACTAGTAGAACAGGAGCAGTCAGACTAGCCGAACATAAAAACCTAGCTAAATCTAGATTGGTTGGCCCAAATAAGATAAGAAATCTAGAGAATAGTTCAGCTATACCACTCACTACATGCAGTTTGTGTGTGTATATATGCATTATTTCTTTCAGATATCTCTAATTGTTCACCTACTTAATTATCTGTCTATCTGTACATAATTGTAGGATATTCGACTTGAGGGTCAATGCACTCCTAAACTTGAATTAATGTTAATCCGTCGTCGACGTGAAGAGCTATGCCATGCACAAGATATACGTCGTTGTTATGATGATAAACGTGAGAGAGCTAATGAATTATGTATGGAATTACAAACATTGTTAATGGAATGTGAAGAAGAGAAAAGAAAAGCGGAAAGGTTAGTTCGTTTTTACTCTGGTTGTTTTTTTTTGTTTTGTTTTTATTGGTGTGTTCTCGTTGTTGATTTTAGTGTTCTTCTATTTAACTTCACTCAGCACAGCAACATTCGTCATTCTCTCACATTAAATTCACTCTTATTTGCTGACATTGTATCTTCTGATTGACTAATTAATAAATCATCTTATTGGTTCACATTCCATACTGAACATTAGCTGACCGAGCAGAAAAAATTAACAACAAATAAGTCTTTCTGACAACAAACAAACCAAGAACCTGTCCCTCAAAAAACATTCCGAAGTAATTGGAGAAAGGCTTGAAACACGATGAGGAGTAACATTGCGCGCCAAGCTGTCGAGTGGAACCTGGATGGTAGAATACCACTTAGGCGTCTGAAGAGGAAATTGAGGGGAGGGGGTCATGTGAAGATGAAATGAAAGAGTGTGAGCATTCCTGAAGCCAGGATGAAATGGAAGTGTACTGTTTAGACGCTAGATTCCACTGAGAACCTAAAAAAATAGTAATAATATTGGTTCACGAATTGTTTTTATGTACACTTGCAGACTATTGCTGTGATTTGTTTATTGATTAACACAGTGTACATCAACTTACATTGTCAGTTACTTGCCTGACTGTGTCAAAGGTATCTTAGTAGACTGGTTTGTCTGTCAGTGTGTAACTGACTTGAAAATGTTTCTAATAGGAATTAAATCTTTCTAATCGGAGCAATGGATTGCTTCGTTAATGAAGCTATCTGATTTCTGTCTGAATGCTTATAGGATTACGTGATAACTCAAAAAAGCTATAAATCATAAGACTGAAATCAGGTCAGTAGGTCGAAACTTCCATTATAGGGGATTATTCCATCAATGTAATCAAAATCAAAATTTAACTAGGTACCAAGGGAGTGAAAGATTGATCCCTTCTTATATACATAAGTTTTTTTTTAAAAATCTGTTAATTACAGTCGCCTCACCATATCGTATCAAACTTGGTTTGCCGTTTGCACATTCAGCACATTTTAGTGGATCTGGAAGTCCCGACAAACTGTCGCATATCCATATGTGAACCATAAGCGAACTCCCCTGTGTGAATTCGAATAAAGATAGAAGAATTATTGGTTCAGAGGAGTATAGATGTATTTTATTTCGTTGGTTCTCGTCAGCTACGTACAACTTATACTATTAAACAAAACCAGTTTTAATACAATTTTAACGTACATTGTTTATCATTATAAATCAGCCCTCCAGTAAGAATTGTAAGTTATTAGTGAAACATAGCACAAAGATGATCAGGTTATCAGGAGTTATCTGTATATATGTATATATACTATAAGAGCGGGGCTTTTCGTAAAAACGATCGAATTTATTGTTAGGTCGCTGATAAGTCAGTGATAATCGCGTAGTCAGAGATAATCTGATACAGGGAATAGAACGCATAAAATTGAAAAATCAAAATTTTTAGTCCATACGAAATCGAGTGAAAAAATGGCGGTGGTGTAATACAGTGAGTAGAATTCAAGTGATCACAAATTAAGTCTAATGCGGAAGTCAAGCAAAAAATGGGAAGAGAGGGGGAATTAACGAGATCAGAGGACAGAGGAGTAAGTGTGTAGTAATTGCATATTGTATACATTTTTCAGCTGATTTTCCCATGTGGTTAAGAAGTGTATGCCTGATGTCTATCGTACTGATGTTTTTGTTGCATTGAAATGGCAAAAATCACAGTCTTCTTAGATGTGTAGCTGAGGAAACCATCGGGTCGGGAGTTAAGACACATACTCGTCAATAACATTGTCTGTTAGTCATGCTGAAATCACGAATTGGGCCATTGAATTGGGTCCCATTTGCTGAACGGTCAACAAGCTTTCCTTATAACGTGGAAGTCTTGGGTTCAAACCCTAGTATCTCCGCATTGTCGATGAGTCCCGGGTTAAGGCGAAACAACTATCCAGTACTCCCTCGTTTCCAATGGTTCCATAACTGATATCAATCTGTGATTGAACTTAAAACAGATCAAATCCCTACAAACTAACCGTTGAAAATTATCTTCTGTTGCAAAGTAAACCAAAAGACCGCTGTTGCACAGGGGAAATCAATCGACGAAGTCGTGAAGTTACAAAGACTGAAATGGTTAGGACATGTGTTACGTATGCCAAGCCATCGCCTCCCTCGACGAGCAATGTTAGCGGATATAGGGTCAGGCTGGAAAAGTGAGAGCTAGCGGCGGTCAAACAAAAATATGGCCTCACCAGTCAATGAAATCTACAACAGTTAGTTCAAGCCAGTCACGTAGGAAGGTGTAGACTTCCTGACTGGTTGGGGTCCTCTGGACGGTAGAAACCAATGGTTGGAAACAGTTGGTGACATGGCTCAAAATCGTTCTCAATGGCTGACTAGCGCAGATGCATCCACGTCTTGTGACTTATGATCTCCAATGAAACTGTTTTGTTTTTCTTTATTACTCCTTTGTCTCACACCTCTGCTCACTGTTTGTATTATGCTTTTCTTGTACTTTCTTCTCTTGCTTCGCGTGCTACACGGAGTGTGGCGACTTGAACTTCCGCACATTTGTGCAAAGTTCTATGTCAAAAACAGACAGACAGACAGGGCATCCGTGATGCCTAATGAAACTGTATTCTGGTAAATTGTGTTGCAATTTTACTTGAATTTCTTTTTCCTTCATCTTTTTTACCCTGTTTTTTTACTTTAGAGAACGTCTTTATTATGAAACTTTAATCCGGGAATTGGATATTAGTCACCAAGAGCAGCAACGAAAACATCAAGAAGTCCAAAAAAGTCATTTTGATGCACAAAAAGATGGAAGTGGAATTTTTAATGAAAGCGGCAGGATATTGAAATTTGCTGATCTTGATTATAATAACAATAATAATAATAATGCTAATCGGAAACAGTTTTCGTTTTCCACTCTGTCCACCTTTTCACTAGGACGTAAATTCAATGAGTTTTACTCCGTTATCGAAATAGTAGTACTTTAAAATGTGTTAAACCTACAGCACAATCTTTGTCCTTACCAGTTAAAGACAATACAAACGGATTTTTACCCACTCTTAAAATTACTACTAATAATAGTAGGGATACTACGTATGGGACAAGAAATCTAAGCAATAGAAGTATTGTCGGTAGTATGGAATTGTTAAGAAATCCCTACACTTTATCAAATATATACCAAAGTAGTATGATTAAAAGTTATCCTAATAAACCATTTAACATTGAACAACTAATTAAAAAGAATAAGAAAAAGAATTATCAGCGCATGTTGTACAACAACAACAACGCTTTCAATGATCTTTTCAGTAATAATAAATCTGTCTGTCCATTCTGTGGTAATGTATATTCCAATGTGGATCACTTGAACACCACTTTGTATTATAATCAGCGTAGAGCATTTACACTTTCTATGTTAGAATATGAATTTTTGAAAACAAAGAAGAAATTGGATCTAGATGGAACGACGACAACAACATTCTCACCATTTATTGTTGATGATGCTTTGAATGGTTTGCAGTTATCTAGTCCATTGTGAGTACATTATTTCTTGATCGTTTTCTTTATTGTTGATCGTCTTCTGTCTGTTTATTTACTACTAAGTTTCGATATGTGATTGCTTCAAGTGATAGAATTCTCGCCAACCGAGCACGTGGTCCGGGCTCGATTCCCGGTCGACACACCACTAAACCTTGCCTAGTTTACTATTCAATAGTAAGCCTGGAAAAGGGAGAATTCTGGGCATATGAAGCTAGCATTCCTAACCTGCAAAAACAACACCAAAGGTTGAAGTGCTATGTTTTAACCGAAATTCAAAGGAATGAAAACGCAATGTTTAATGTTTAACTGAAATATCTAATGGGCTAAAACGTGGGCTTTGTATGTATTATTACGTAACGTGAATAGCAATATGTACCATTTACACACAAAAAGTAATAATAACTAACCCCCATCGATCGAAAGGTACTATGGCGATGTCTAGCTGTATATGGTTTGCCAATGAGAAATATGTGTAATACTAATCAAGACACTCAACTCGAATTCATGAAACCGTAAAACGGATAACGAAGTGTTGTCTCTTGAAGTGACGACAGCGAGTGGCGTCCTGCGGGCTCCAATCGTTATTAAATCACATTTTAAAAGTAATAATGCAGGTACCGTGGGCGATTTCAACATCTCAGAAATTGATTGCCTACTACAGAATAGTCTCATCGATCTAGAGTATGCAGATGATATAGTGCTTTTCTAAGTTACGTAGCCGGCAAAATGGAAGGTCTCTTGAATACCTACAAAGAAAATTGTTGTATGTTTGGCATAAAATTCGACTCACTCATACGTTTGGTGGGAGAAGTCCCGATTATTAAAGAAATGGTATATAGTGGTTTAGGAAGTCGCAATAGCTCTAACTAATGCGTGGACTGATGATGAAATCTCAACATGAACAGGAAATGCTCATTGGGAAATTTGACAAACTGTGTCACCTTTGACAAAGATTTGATATTCGGCTACCTACATCTATTGTGAGGCAGTTCACCCTACCCTCGATTGACTCTGTGAGATGTAGAAGCAGTTTATAAACAAAGGTGTCTGCGTTTAGTTTCTCGTATTATCTGGCATACTGTAGTCATAAATAATGAAATTAGGCGGAAAGATTTAGGTAAGGAGGGAAGTTCAATATATGAGTTTTTGTGAACCTGCATGCTTTACGCTTATCGTATCATATCCTTCCTCGGTGAGAAATACTAGCCGATATATGATCAGGTTGTTTATATATATATATATATATATATATATATATATATATATATATATATATAATAAAACACGCTGGGAGATGATTTCTGTCTAATGTACGCCTGTCATCTTGACCTACATGGTCTGCCTCATGATCTAGTGCACCGAAATAAAGGAGGTAATCGCTGTTTGGTAGACAGCCTCTTGTCGTCACTATAAAGGCTTCTCTGAGTGTCTGTATTGAATCAGGTGGCACATGGTATCATCTTATATCTTTTGATGAAGGTTTGAGGGACTCCATAGTGTTGAAACAATTTCCAAATTACTTTGCAGTCAGTGCTGTCGAAGGCCTTTTCAAAGTCGGTGAAGTTGAGGTGGGGACTTGAGTGCTATTTTATGTTCTGTTCCATGATGACGATGTTTCAATTTGTTCTACATATGATTTTTTTCTCCTGAATTCATCGTGTTCCTGGTGGAGTTTTGTATCTGGGGCATTTTCTATTCTCCAGGATAACACAACTCAATATTTTGCTTGATGTGGATAGGAGCATGATTCCGCGTTGGTTTTTGCAAAGGCTTGAGTCGCCTGTGCGTCGGTGACACAGCGGTTAGGACGCTCATCGACCATGCATATAGTGCGGGCTTCCATCCCCGGCCACCGACGCAGTCCTTTACCTCGCTAAGCCAGAAATAATGCCGGTAAGGAGGCTAGCATGAGGCTAGTAATCCCATCCTGTAAAAATTAAACATTGCTAGGGAAACTTCAAGCCACTAGCTTGAGGCCCTATGATCCACTAGAAACGTGAAGGAGAAAAAACAGTCGCCTGTCATAAATTCCCGTTGCTGTTGTGTGTGTAGGCCTTTCGATTTTGTTTTACTTATAACCTTCTGCTTGACTATGCCATGATCTTTGCTAAATAATATTCATCTGCGAGTTTTGTTTTCTTTTGTTTTTCTATTTTCTAAGGATTTGCAGTACAAGAAAACAGTTTGCAAGTACTAATAGTATACACTTCCTTGTTCCTCCTCCACCTGCCTATGACACCATAATGAAAAGTCCCAATATGTATAAATGTCATCAATATGCTGCATCACCAACAGCTCCACCAGCGACGTTATCATCGTCGTCATCAGCAACAGTTACTAATGGTACTTCGAATACTACAACTTATGCATGCTTGATTAATCAACAAGATTATGGTGATTATAAATCCATTAAACAACATAAACGTTATCGGCAAACCAATTTGACGGCTAACCGTCTTCATACAGTCACTTCATCATCATCATTATCAATGTCATTGTCACCAGTAATGTCAGTAAATTATCGAATTAAAACTGCTACAACAACAACAAATACTTCTACTACTGACGCAATGATGACAACCACTGCCACTTGTGTCAATAAAAAAAATACCAACACCTCACTTTCAATAAGTAATAATAATAAAATCCATTCTAGTGTCCTTTTAAATCCACTCATTAATTTCTTACCTATCAATGATGATGCACAATCAAAAATTCAGAAAAAATATAAACATTTATCTGTTGTATCGCCATCACCATCTACCTTTTCATCGAATTATTCACCAGTTGATACAGTTAAGGTGAGCAATTACTGCTTTCATGATTGTGTACTATTTCGTTATTATTTTTGGGTTACCTTAGGTTTTTTAGTAGAACATATAGCTTCAGCAGCATATCTCCATTGAATCCAACCCTCTGTAGTCCTTTTGAGCTGGCTTCACAATCGCCCATAACCTCTCATCTCCTCCTCGCACGATCTCCTCCATGTCACCCTAGGACTTCCCACTGGTCGTTTCCTATTCGGATTCCACTCGAGCGATAGCCTAGAGCGCGATGTCATTCGATAGGCTGTTCGGCGTGTGCCCAATTCATCTACATTTTCTCTTACACATTCGTTGGATGAAAGGATCTTGGTTAGTTTGTTCCGATAGGTTTCTTGTTGTTAATTCTTTCTGGTCGTCCATTTGATCTTCATTCAGTGTAGATGGAGTAGGCAGCGAAGTAGACAGCTCCTAATAAAAGTCTGCAGGGGACTGTGTTGGAAATGCTTTTTGTGTTGCACAGTGGAAGTTTCTGAGCCATATGGAAGAAGTGACTGACTTAATGTTGGTGTTGAAGAGAATTCGAATCTTAAAAACTTCATGCAATTCTTCGCATTAATAAACTTGAAGAAAGCAAGAACAACAGTTGTACCAGGATAATACGAGCTCATCTTTTATTATTTCGAGGATTCTTCTCAACTGGTTACAACCTGAACGTTAAAAAATATGAATAACATTAAAGATATGAACATACTTTTCCACGATCATAAGGAGTAATTGGTAGGAATTAAAAGTAACATTAGTCCGGAGTGATTTAACTGATTAGGAGTTACAAACACTGACTATTTATAGAATAATTAGACAATTAGGCTTGGAAACAAAAAACAGGGTGATATATATATATATATATATATATATATATATATATATATATATATAATATATATAGAAACAAGGTTCAGCAAGAAAGAGCATAACGAAAAAGTAGATCACGTAACTAAAGAAAACATCTTATATAATAGCCAATAGAAATAAGGAAAGAAAAGAAACAACATAGGGTGAGTCATGTTTAGATGAGAGAGTAGAGTTTTCTAAACATGAAAAAGGGTGACTCATGAAGGTTGTATATTTTTTGTTATCACCAGGGCAGTGCAAGATTCACCACTGTCTCTTTCTGCGTACATAGATTTGGTTTAAGTCGTTTGATGGCAATTGCTTCAGCAAAGCGTAGCAATCTAGGTTTCTTTTGCTTGTTGATTACTTTGAACGACTTCAGGTTATCTACAATATGACCAGTGTCCAATAGATGACGAGCAATAGCACTGTTTATTGCTTGTGGACCTTTCAGTCTCAAGTTCTTTGGTATGTGTTCATAGACGCGGACACTAACTCTTCTCTCTGTTCTTCCAATATATGTGCTTTGGCACGTACATGTAAATTGGTATACACAGTTGGAGGTAACATGAGGTGGGTATTTGTCCACTTTTGATTGCCTCAAACAACTGGTTGTTTGGTAAACGCATACAAGCTTGGCGGCTGGATATGTTCTTTTCATGGCAGCGTTCAGTCTGCATCTTATTCTACTAGCAGTATCGTCACCTTTGAATGCAAGCTGCAGAAAGATAGGCCTTTTATCTACTGTGCTGCTTTTCACTTTTTCAACATGACGTCTCCCATACTTGTCGATGAACTTTTGTGGATAACCGTTGCTTTCTTCTCACTCCCCACAGTTTTGCGCATAATTTGGTCCACCATAATTGGCTGTATCATCCGTCGTAATAGGTAGTCTTGTCTTATTCTTGTATTAAATTCAAAGGCTTCACTGAGTTTTCCAATCACTCGACACACTTATCATTGTCATTGAATGACGTTGATCCATATTTGACGTACTGCACTGCATAGTTTTGCAGTAGTTGACAAATTACTTCGTGGTCAATGCTGTCGAAGTCATTTCCAAAGTTGATGAAATTCAGGCACATAATTTGTCTTCCCTGAATCCAGCTTGTTTTGGGTAGCGTTCTTCAGTAGTATGATGTACATATTACATATACATGCTTTTTCTACGGCTGAAAATGTTTACATCAGATTTTGCCTATACTGGAAACTTCATGCATTTATTCCCCTTGATGAATTTGGATAAAGCAAGAACAGCAGTGGTTTGTGCAGAATAATATGGTACCATCATTGTTTATTTCGTTGGCTTCTCATCAGCTGCTTACAGCCTAAATAAATTTTCAGGTTTAAGTACAGAAACGTGTTAACATACTTGCAAATTTTACATGTTGTCAGTTGACAGAAAGTTCCACAATTAGTAAACAGTGCTCAGAAAATTGCGCTTATATAGTTTTTACACAGCCAGTTCAAGTTAAACCAAAATAAATGTATGCATATAATGATAAAGGAGTTACATAATAAAGATGAGATGTGCGTTAGATGCATAGTGACTAATAAGTTAGGTAACAATGTACTGAGTTGAACTCAAATCATAGAAACAGGGGACAAGCAAAATTACAGATTATAAAAGAGGGTGAGGTTAAAGACAGAGATTACGTAATCAGATGATAGAAAGAAAGACATACAGTTACCAAGGCAAGGAAAGACTAATAACTGCTTCTTTCTGAACACATAAATCTTGTTTCAAGCGTTTGATAGAAATTGCTTCGGCAAACGTGAGGAGAATTGAGCTCCTTTGTCTGTTGATAAGTTTGAAGGATTTCTCGATTTCCACCTCGTGACCCGTGTCGAGAAAATGTCTGGTAATAGCGCTACTATAAGAGTTTGTTCCCTTGAGACGTAGGCTTTTCGGCACATGTTCAGAAAATCGTAGGTATGCCTTTCTTCTTTTTGTCCTTCCAACGTAACTGCTCCCGCAGGTACACGTAAATTTGTATACACAGTTGGAGTTAAAATGGGAAGGGTATCTATCGACTTTTGACTGCACCAAAGAGCATGTTGCCCGATGGACGGGAACCAACTTAGCTGCAGGATAGGCTCTGGCTAGTGACGTTCTCAGTCTTCTGTTGACCATTTCTGGAATGTCTTCACCTTTAAAATCTGGTTGAATGAAGATAGGCTTTTTTTAACTGTGATTTGTTTGGTATTTGGGCCTTCACATCTTTGAGGATAGCCGTTGTTTTTCATCACCTTTTCGAGATTCGTAAATTCTTCCTCTAGTTCCTCTGCAGAGCATATTCTCCTCGCTCTATAGTACAGAGTCTTGACTAGTGCTCGTTTATAGCTATTTGGACAAAACTATTAAAATGTAAGTATTGTCCATTCCATGTGGGCTTTCGGTAGATTGACCTCTGGAGACTACCATCTTCTAGGCGTTTTATGGCGACGTCAAGGAAATGGAACTGTCCATCATTTTCATGTTCCATAGTAAATACAATATTTGTATGTGCGTTGTTGAATAGTCTGAGTAGGTAGGAGACATGACTTTCCTTTTTGCATACTACAAATGTTTCGTCGACATATCGACAGTAGGAAGTTGTTTGATCAATTGCATGCTTCAACTTTGTTTTCTCAAGGTTTGACACAAAGATATCTGCTAAAACAGGGCTAAGTGAACTGCCCATAGCTACACCATCTATTTGTCGGTAAAGAGTGTTGTCAAACTGGAATTGTACACTCATGGTACACATTAGCAGTAGGCGTTTGAATTCCGGCTGTGGTAGTGGGAGAAGGTCAGACTGTTGACAAATAATCTCAATGGTTTCATTGATTGGGATCATTGTGAACAAGGAGGTTGCATCAAATGAAGCCATGAACTTATTTGAAATGTTCCTGTGATTCACGCATTCGGCAAAATGAAATGAGTCTTTAGTGGTATGCGTGGCTAGCCTTTGGCGAATGGGTTCCAACTTCTTTGCAAGCCAACGGGCAACCTTATATTGGGGAGAGTTGATCATCGAAAGTATAGGTCTCAGAGGGACTTCTTTCTTGTGTGTCTTTGGAAGGCCATACATATATGGCAAACGGGTCCCTCGGGGTTTCAATTCATTGTATGTGTTGTTGTCAATTAAATTGTTCTTTAGAAGATCTCTCAGTACCTTTGTGATGCGTTTTTCAGTTGCATCTGTCTTGTCTTTCTGGCAGTCGTCGACTTTGAACCTCATCGGATCATTCAGCACAGTTTTCATCAGTTTCATTGTGGAACTTTCTGTCAACTGACAACATGTAAAATTTGCAGGCTGTAAGCAGCTGATCAGAAGCCAACGAAATAAATGATGGTACTATATTATTCTGCACAAACCACTGTTGTTCTATACTGAAAAGCTAGTGAAATTAATATGATGTGTACAACTACTGAGTTCAAATACTTCTCTTATACAAGTTCCCTTTTTTTAACCAGCTTGTTATCCACTCTTCTTGAACGGAGAAACATCTAGAAAGGCTTAATACCCCCCCCCCGCCCCGCCCCATCCCCGAATCAAGGCTTACACCGAATGATGCTTATATTTGTTGAATTATTATTTTTTGTATAATATGATAAGTAAGTTGATGTATGATTAACTATCATCAGTTCAATAGATAATCTAAAACTGTTGAAACACGTTTGTTGTTTTGTTATTCTAAAATAGATGAATAAACGGAAATTTGATGATACTAATGATTTATTGAATCCATATTCAAATTTCTCAACACATGATGATGGTATAAAATTATCAAAATTACAACAACCAGTACATAATCACGATGATAACTGTAATATGAACCATGTGAAATTAAATCATTACACTTTCAACTATCCATTACAATCCTCATTTAGTCATGATTCATTATTACAATTCTACAATCTGAAGAAATCACAATTTGCCTACAACACTGAAAATGAACACTGTTCAGGATTAAAACGTAAAGTTTTTCATCATCTTAGCAAAGCTTCCTCATGTCAATCGATTAGATCATGCATTACTCCACATACAAATATATATGACTATTACAACAAATCATCATCTGATTATGTATTATCATCACCTCAGCTATCATCTTCATCAATGTGTGATCTGAGAAATGTTCACTTCACCTGGGAAGATTTATATAGTTATCATATTACTAGTGGTATTAATAATAAGTACCCGGCAAGTCAATCTGAAATAAGCGGATTCAGTCAAAAGACAGTGATTCAAAATATACCCACTTCATCATCATCATCAACTGATCATGCTAGTCAAGCTTCAAAAGTCAATAATTTTCTCAATGAAAGGTATTCATAACTTTTATAATAGTTTAACATTAAATTTTATATATAAATATATATATATATATTTGTCCATCTGTCTGTCTGTTTTTGACATAGAACTTTGCACGGATGTGCGGCAGTTCAAGTCGCCACACTCCCTCCTTGTACCACACAAAGCAACAGAAGAAAGTAAAAAGAAATGCACAATAGAGACAGTAAACAGGTGTGAGACAAAGGAAGAGTAATAACGAAGAACAATATAGTTTCACTGGAAATGATAGGTCACAAGGAGTGGATGCATCTACGCTAGCCAGCCAATGAGAACGATTTTGAGCCATATCACCAATTGTTTCCAACCATTGGTTTCTACCGTCCAGAGGACCCCAACCAGTCAGGTAGTCTACACCTTCCTACGTGACTGGCTTAAACTAACTGTTGTAGATTTCATTGACTGGTGAGGCCATGTTTTTGTTTGACCACCGCTAGCTCTTTCCCAGCCTGACCATATGTCAGCTAACATTGCCTGTTGTCGAGGAAGGCGATGACCAGGCATACGTAACACATGTTCTAACCATCTCAGTCTATGTAACTTCACAACCTCGTCGATTGATTTCCCCTGTTTACCTAGCACTCGACGCCTAACCTCAATATTGCTCACCTTATTATACCACCATCTCACACGGGAGATAGAGCGCAGGCACCTATGATGAAAAACGGCTAGTCTCTTCATGTCCTCTACTCTCAGTGGCCAGGTCTCACAGCCATAAAGGAGGACTGAGTGTACAGAGCAAGACTGTTGTTGATAAAGGTGTGCAACAGGCTGTTGGAAATGTTTTTTTATTACAGCTTGATCTCACTCTATACTTTTGGTACAAGTATGGAGTTTTCACCGTGGATATCGGTAGCCCAAATTTCGCAGGCCGACCATAGATATCAGGTGTACGTCGGCAGGGGATCGAACCTCGGACCATGTGTATGGTTGGCGAGAGTCCTAACCACTGTGCCACCGACGAACAAATATACTTTGTTACCCGTCACGTTTCTGATCCGCATAGAAGAACTGACTGACTTGACGTTCGTATTGGAAATCCGACCGAATTTCGTTGTTGACGCTGAGTGACGAAGATTTCCAGATTAGTTTCAGGTTGACGAATGTGTTTCTCACCTTCCTGATTCTTGATTTGACTTCCTCGTCGGTTCCTTCTGTAGTTGAGACAATGCTCCCTAGATAAGTGAGTGAATGAAGTAACCTCTTTCAAATCCTTCTCGTTGATGGTGATTGGCGCTGGATGTTGCTGCTGCTGTTGTTGTTGTTGGTTGGTTATTTTCATAACCTCCGTGTTGTTTATGTTCACCTGGAGTCCTGTCTTCGCTGGCTGCTTCTTCGACCAGTTTGTCGGTCACTTTTCGCTTGTAAGTCTTCGATTTTGTGACAGTGACATCGAACATAAATCATCGCCGCGCGAAATCCAGGTCCTCTAGGTTCTTCACGTCGGTCGGTCCAGGATATTCCTGCCTTCTCGTTTCCAACTGGCTGTCTGACGCATAATCCAGTTCACCACAATTAGGAATATCATTGGTGATAATAACCCAACACCCTTGTCTGACTCCTGTGTTTACTGGAAACGCCTCACTGAGTTTTCCGTTGTGGATGACTTGACATGTTCCGTTGTCGTACAGCTAGCTGTTGATGAATATTTTGGGCACTGTACTCCGTAGTTCTTGAGTAGTTTCCAAATTACTTCATGGTCAATGCTGTCTGTCGAAGGCCTTCTCAAAGTCTATAAAGTTGAGGTAGAGGTTTGATTGCCATTCCATGCTTTGTTCTGTGGTGATGATGTGTAGAGTTGCAATTTGGTCAGAACATGATTTGCCCTTCCTGAATCCAGCTTGTTCTGGTCGGAGTTCTACATCCAGTGCGTTCTTTATTCTCTCCAGGATGATGCGACTCAGGATTTTACTTGGCGTCGACAGGAGCATGATTCCTCTCCAGTTCTTGCAGAGTGAGGCGTAAGTCGCCCTTCTTTGGTATTTTCACGAGGTAACCTTTCCTCCAGTCAGTAGGCACCTTTCCCTCCCTTCAGACCTTTTGCAATAATGGAGTCAGCATATCTGCTGTCGTCTCTGGGTCCGCTTTCAGTGCTTCAGGGGGTATTCTATCTGGTCCAGCTGCTTTTCCAGCTTTCAGAAGCTTGATTACACTCAAGACTTCAGCTCTCGTTGGAGGATTGGTGTCAACTTGCAGTTGTGTCACGTGCTGTTGTTGGTATTTCTGGACGGTGGTCGGTTCAAGAGTCCTTTGAAGTGATCTGCCCATTGTTTAATCTGTTTTTCTTCCTTGGTAATTGGGTTCCCTTGGCTGTCTTTTATAGGTTTCGCTTGTGTTGATCTCTTCCCGGATAGAGATTTGGTTATCTGATATAATGTCCTCAGGTCCCTTTTGCCTGCTGCCTTCTCAGCTTCAGTGGCCAGTTGTCGTAGAATCGTCTTTTGTCCTTCCTAGCACTCTTCTTCACTTCTTTGTCCAGTGCTGTGTAAGTTGAGCTCAGCGTCTTTTCTCTTGTCCGTCTTTGCATTGAATCATTTTCTCTTTCACCATTCTCCTCTCTTCTATTAATTTCCAAGTGTCCGTTGAGAGCCATTCCTTGTCTTGTCTCTTCTTTCTTCCTAAAACCGTTGAACACGTTTCGTTGAGAATCGCCTTCAGAGACTTCCAATGTTCTTCCACGCATGATTCTTCAGTGATGTCGCGTAGTGTTTCCTGCTTTGCTCTGACAGTTGCAGTGAAAATGTCTTTTGTGGTTGTGTCCTTCAGTAATTGAGTGTTGAACTTGCATTGTGGCCTATCCCCAGCTATCCTCGAGGCTTTTAGTTTCACCTTGAAAGTCCCTTTACTAGATAGTGGTCTGAACCCACATCTGCTCCTCTCCTTGACCTTGTGTCCAGTAGGCTCCGTCTCCACTTTCTTGAAATTGAGATGAAGTCTATTTGGTTCTTGGTGTTTCCATCTGGTGAAATCCATGTCGTCTTGTGTATATCCTTGTGTTTGAACACACTGCCACCAATCACCAAATCATTGAAGGCGCAGAAGTCTGAGAAGAGTTCACCATTGTCGTTCATTTCACCGAGGGCCTCACGACCCATGGTGAGTTCTCTTCCTGTGTTGTCTCCTCCCAGCTTCGCATTCATGTCGCCCATCAGGATTTTGATATCGCCATTTGGGACGTTGTCCATTATTGTTTGTAGTTGTCTGTAGAACGCCTCCTTCTTCTCTTGTTCTGAGACGTTTGTAGGCGCATAGCATTGAATGACTGTAACCTTCCTTCCTTTTGAGTTGAACCTGGCTGTCATTATCCTGGAGGAGATTGGTTCCCACTGCATGAGAGCTTTGGTTGCTGTTGGTGACATCATGATGGCCACTCCCTCGGTGTGCTCATGGTTGTCCTCTGGGTGGCCGGAATAGATTACTGTCTCTCCAGTAGGTAGTTGGCACCTTCCAGTTCCGTTCCATCTGCTCTCGCAGATTCCCAACACTTCTATTCTATATCTCCTCATTTCAGCGGCTATCTGGGCAGCCTTTCCAGTTTCGTAAATTGTACGAACATTCCGGGTACCCATCCTTATTTTTGCTTTCATCGAAAGAAGGCAGATCGGCTGACTGGCTTCCCGAAGGCTTTCACCAGTCTGAATCATTTCATTTCATGGATAATCCCCATCCAGGCATTAAGAAAAAGAAAAAACGTAGATCAGCGAAGAGACTGTTTTCGGCGAATTCATTTTCTTAGCTGTGCGTCGGCGGCACAGAGGTTTGAACTCTCGCCCACCATGCATATGGTCCGAGGTTCGATCCCCTGCCGATGCCACACCGGATATCTATGGTCGGCCTGCAAAATTTTGGCTACCAATATCCATGCTAAAAAGTCCACACTTGTACCAAATATACAGTGTGGAATCAAGCTTGTAAATCATATATATATATATATATATATATATATATATATATATATAATTTTGTATGTATGTGTACATTAAGGTTGTCAAAGAAAATTAAAATTGGTTATGGTTATTTTAACTAAACAGGTGAAGCTTTGTAATACAAGTGAAGAAAATTAGGGTAGTAACGAAGGTGATGCGTTGTCACGAGCAGTTGTTAAAAGAAGTTATGTAATAATATGAATAGTTTGATGAGTGAGTTCTACTCAGGATGCATATAGAAACAAAGTAGGTAATACGAAATTACAAAAGAGTTCTAAGCAATTAAAGAACAGGCAAAGAAACAAATTAAGTCATCAAAATAGAAAAAACTTAAATCAAATAAAAAAGGTTGTTACCATGAGAAAAGAATTGGTTGGGTAATCTTCTTTTGTATACACAGCTCCGGTTTTTCCATGTGAATGGCCAGAACTTCAGCGATACAAAGAAGACAAAACCGTATTGCCTTTGATAGGTTATTCTTAACTCTGTAGATTACTTTGAAGGAGGCGTTTGTTGAAATGGAATGGTCAGTGTTAACCAGGTGTGCAATTATCACACCCCTTATTGCACCACTATTGCCTTTTCGCAACCATGCTGGATAGTGTTCGCCTCACAATCTTACGGCTTTCAATTGTATAATTTTATCTCGCTTCTTTGTTTCCTCTAATTATTTTCTGCCTGGTGTTCACATAGAGGATGTTGCAAGCTGAACAACTACACAGTAATTTTGGGTTTCACTCTAGTAACTTCTGTCAATTTAAAGTATGGCACCGGAAATTCTCTAGAACCATCCCCTTTAGTCACCTACTACTCAATAATACACCGCATTGTGTTTCAGTAAATTTTAGTGCGGCTGTAGAGCCTTTGAAGAGACATCCGTCGATAAAGAATATTTTGTTGAGTCATTTTTTGTTTCCTTCATATCTCTGTGGCTATTTTCGGCCAGTTAACTTGTGCTTTCATATACTCATATATGATCATTATGGTGTCATTCTGTATTATTGTTCACTTCTTTTCGTGCCTTCTTTGGGAGTGTCAACCTGGAATGGTTTATTATTCTGAGACAGCCTGTTTGTTTCTCCCTTTCTTTGAAGCTATTGCTTCATTAGGCTATACGGTTGATAACTGACTACTGGTTTCCGTGTCTTAAAACCGAGGTTATGGCAACTGCTATGCATTATCAGGTGCATCCATACGGTTTATGCGTCTAATTGCAAAGCTAATGCAGACTGACAGACTGATTTGGTCTCATCGTGATATTTTGCACAAAAAGCACCAGTTTAAGTTGCTAAACTCCAGGTAGTACGCAAAGGTAGAGAAAACAGCAGAAAAATTCAAAATAACTACTGTGGTGAGAGCAGGCCGTGAGAAAATATGAACAAGGCTGATTCAACAACCAATCACAGCAAATTTAACGTGGCAAAATATGATTCGCAGATAGAGAACTCTATTTGTCGAGGAATCCAGAAACAACCAATCAGAAGCCTGCGTTTGTCTGCCTAACTTCTGATAAACAACCAATCAGATAACTGCGCTTGTCTACTTGCATAAGCTATAATAATGTATGTGAAATATGTATAAATACGTGTTGATTTTCATAATAAAAGGATCTGTTGCCTGGCCCTTGTCTTCTGTTGTTACACTACTATGCACAGGATATAAAATTGTACCATGGAAAAACATGACAGTTTGAGAGATTTGGAAGATTACATCTGTACTGTTGAAGTTGACTTTAAGCTATATCACCAATGGTCTCCAGCCCTTGGTTCTTAACGTGCTGAAGACTCAAATAAGGCTGTTTACACCTCCCCATGTGGCTGATTTGCCTCGTCTCAGATTAGACATAGCGTTTGTAATCTCATTTACAGTTGCAGGGCCGATGTCTACATCCCTTCCAGGTGGATTTCGGGTGCTGGACAAGTTGAATATGGCTGTAGGCCAGTTAGGTGTCTCCTCAAAATGTTCTCTTCTACACTCCAGCTTCATTTCCTCCGCGCTAATTAGTGATTGTGTCGCTTATCATTTGTCTTTACAACCTGTTTCCCTAATAAGCCTAAATATAATTGTCTGGTGTTACCTATCGTAATGATGACTGTCATAGTGTTGCCTAATGGTTTTCCATTGTCTTATCATATTCCTTGAGAACTTGATTTCCACTTTAGAGTGTATTTTTTATCCCTAAAATTTTTTAATTATCTCGATGTAATTTGTTCTTTTCCTTTGTCGTTTCCTCAAAAAAAAGTTGTAGTAACACACAACAAAGGACTGTACAAGATGCAAATTTAAATGATGAAGAAGACGAAAATGATATCGAAATAATCACTAGTGAAAATTTCCCCTTCTTAGAACATGTCAGTCCATTATGGTCACCGAGTAAATGTTGTCTACCCCATCATTCAAATCCTAACCAAACGGTTAGGAGGCCAAGAATCAATGAAGCTCAACATGATTCTTTGTTTTCTCCAAAGTATTCCAAATCGATTCCAAGTATACCGCGTAGAGCGATCCGTAATAAAAGTGCCTGTAGTACTAACAGCAATGATAATACCAGCAATAATTGTCATGAAAGTGTTGATGTGAATCAGAATCTTTACATACCATCATCATCTTCATCAGTATCACCGTCACCACTATCCTTTACACATAATAACAATCGATTGTTTAATGATGATGAAAATGAAGAACAAGTCAATGAGAAAATCCAGTTAAGAAAATATCCTGGTCGACGTCAGCTTATTTCACGTCAATCCTACTTGAAGAATTCCACTACAACTAATCATCACACATATCGTCATCATTCAAGAATTTATTCTTCATCACAACCTAGAAGAAATAGTTGTTGCAGTGATAATAGTCATCATCATAAGCTAGATATGACTACAAATTATCGATCGACATCCTTCTCAGCTTCTTCTTCATCGCCTATTTCATCTACTGGAACACGTACATATATGGTTAGTTGTAATTTTTATTCGTTTTTGCGTTTCTGCAGCTTACTTGTACGCCTACTGACTTACTGACTCATTCATTTATTGTGTTAATCAATGTAGAAGTGTGTTTCGAAAGACTGCTAAGACCTTCCAGTCAAACTGTTGTTGGTGATGGCCCTAGCCTTTATGGAAATGCAATTAATGTAGGCTAGAGTCCACATGTGCCTTGATGGGCCTATGAACAGAGAATGTTGTTTAATGTGGATTAGACTCGACCTCAGTGGTCTAGATACATTCATAGATTGTCTTCATTTTAATTATGATACATCCATTTTACTCATGTGGTTGTTTTCTCTCAACTGAATGCTGATTTAAATACGAAGATTTTGTTGACCTCATCTTCAGCACAAGCTTCAGTATGAAATGAAATTATTTGAATTCACCATGTGAATAATATAACTGTATCTCCTGTCAACTTTTGTCGTCGATAGTTTTTAATTCGCAAATGTGCTGAATGCTTTCTACTAACTTTGTATTCAAACATTTTTGTTATGGTTTATTATTTGTTAATTAGTTAATTTTATCTATCATAATGAGTGTGTATTCATTATTGATTCGTCTGAGTACTAGGCTTCTAGTGATTCTCGGAGATTTTTTGGTACTGTCAGTGTTTTTAAAAAATTTTATTCCTTTACGTTCCCAGTGGAACATAGGGCTCCAAGTTAGAGACTTGAAGTTTCTCTAGCAGTGGTGATTATTTTTACAGGATGGGGTTGCTAAGCAGCTTCATGCCCAACCTTCCCTCTTTACCAGTCTTACTACTGGCTTAGCGAGGTAAAAAGGAGGGTGTCGACCGGACCTGCGTGGTCGGCGAGCACTCCACTGCTGTACCACTGACACGCATATTGTCAGTGTTTAAAAGTTTTCTACATTTTCGCAGTCAAAATGGTGTCCATAGTGTTGTCTACATGCGCATAGCTAGTTAGCGTTCTTGAATTCCAATAAATTTTCTTCAAATAAATAATGTGCAGTAAATGAATTTAATCCCAACTGAATAACCTTTAGGAAAATCGTGTGTTTCACTGACTCAAGACAGAAGTCACTTAAAGCATTTGGTATGTGAAACGAAACTCGACAGTATCTCTAAAAGCAATCACTTTTATTCTTTTATCTGACCCAGAAAGAAGTAAAACTCTCTATTCAGTAAGTACCTTTATACACAACCTAAATGTGTGGCGTCGGTGGCATAGCGGTTAGGACGTTCGCCAACCGTGCACATGGTCCGGGGTTCGAACCCCAGCTGACGCACTCCTTTACCTCACTCAACCAGAAGTAAACCCGGTGAAGAGAAAAGGTTGAGCATGAGGCTAGCAACCCCATCCTATAAAAATAAGCACAGCTACAGAAACGTCAAGCCTCTAGCTTGAAGCCCTATGTTCCACTGCGAACGTGAAGGGAAAAAAATGTCAAGAATATAGATAAAGGCGAAATTAGGATACGAAATTAGATTGGTCAAAACGAAGGATAACAAAATTAAATAGCCTATAAAGTCTATTCACCAAGGTAAGTTAAGATTGAGAACGATATCCTTCTGGACGCTTAAATTCACTTCTTTGGTCGTTTAGTAGCAGTCACTTTAGTGATGCGTAACAACCTGAAACTGTTTTGAACCTTAATTATTATCCTAAAGAGTTTTAATGTATTGACTGTATGATCGGTGCCCCTTGGCAGTGCAATTACATGGGGCTTGTTGTGAATATATCTCAGTCAAATTCAAGTGAGCTGAATGTCACCGTTTACAAAAAGCATTGATCAGACACTGGATATTAACAGTATCACTTGTTCTATTTCATACTGTCATTATTAGCATATTGAACAACGTTTTTCCTTCGTCTTTTTTTGGCTGTTTTTCGATATGGGCTTCATTTCAAATGAATCAATATTAGAGTATTGAAAATTTAGCCCATGAATTACAAGCGCATATGATTGACAGTTTAAGTGATAAAGAATATCATGTACGACGTGTACGTAGTCGATTGAGAAATCAACAGTACCTGCAACAACCAGTGAATTTAACAATAGATTATGCGCCTGTTTCTACTACTACTACTGCTGCTGCTGCTGATGTTCCATCACCTCTTCCATATTCATCGAATTCAATCTGTGGAAGTAATATTGAATCAATGATGCCAAGGAGAGAAAGTCGAATAACTCAACAAACATCAAATTCTTTATGTCTACCTAATGAAGATAAACATTCGCTGACTAAATGTAGATCTATTGGACACAATAGTAATAATAATAATAATCATAATCCAAATTCACATTTGTGTACACCAAATTCAATGGTATTAATTACATCAACATGTACTACTATATCAAGTATAACAGAAGTAAGTTCTTTTATGAAATTTTATTTCATTTTATTTTAAATTCACAATTTACAATCTATCCAGTTCGAGCGATTAAATTTCAACGGTTGTTTCCTTTGGAAACCAAGTTATTCAGATGACAATATATGATCTGCGCCACTGGTTGATGTATGAGTGTGGTATGCAATTGTTCACCTTAATTAGTCAGTATATATGTGGTGAGAGCAGGCTGCTAGCCGATTGGTAGACATTAATCTACGTCAATGTCTAGGTCACTAATATTGGCCGTGAGAAAATATGAACAAGGCTGATTCAACAACCAATCACAGCAGACTTAACGTGGGTAAATATGATTCTCAGTTAGATGACTCCACTTTCCGAGGTTACCCGAAACAACCAATCAGAAACTTGTGTTTGTCTGCTTAACTTCCGAGAAACAACCAATCAGAAGACTGAGTGTGTCTACTTGAATAAGCTATAATAATGTACAGGAAATATATATAAATACGTGTTGATTTCCGTAATAAAACGATCTGTTTCCGGCCCTTGTCTTCCATTGTTACATATATAGTTTGTGTTTTACTTTTATTCAAAATTAAGAGTCTTTCCAGTGGTCAGTGTGTACTTATAACGGTATACTGTTCATATCTTCTGCCAACCGGTTACGTCCTATTCACTCTACTTTCACGCACCACAAGGAGTGTTCATTACAAAAGTGAAATGGTGGATGTGAAAGTTTGGTGCTTTTAACCGGACAGATGTACATGATACTCTATCTAAGGGAGCTGAATAATCCTGATTACAGACCTTTTGTGTACGGACTACAGAATCAGAAAGGTTTGAATGGCATATAAACCCGTTTTGGTTCATAACTTCTGACTTTGCTCCACTGCCTTGTGGATCAGACTTCAAGTCAAAGGCTTGGTGGGGAGCGACCCCTAAAGGCAACCAATTGATTCGGTCTGGGTGTCTGAACAGTATCCCAGCCCTAGTACAAACTATGAGATTTTATGGGGCGCATCCCTTGGTGTCTATAATGTACAAAATTTGTGGTTGAATAAATAAAAATATATTGAATCAA